TATTCAATTTATAATATTATAATAATATATATATATATATATATATATATATATATATATAGAGAGAGAGAGAGAGATAATATTATAAATATATATAGATATATATATAATGTTATAATAATATTATATATATATAATATATTATATAATAATATTATAAATTCGTCGAATTTAACCAAGTACATACTTCTAGAATATCAGAGTGTTATGTCGCCACGACGCAATAGAAGAGTTTCCCAAGAAATGTGATGGTTCTTGATTCAATCGAAGAATTTACCAAGACTCGTTCTTCTGGGTTGAACTTCCTTTATTTTAGTAATTATTTCTGAGCGTGTTTGTGATGCGAATAATTCTGAGGATCGGTATCTCGTGAAACGCACGTTTTGACGGAAACTGCATTGGTGCAGGTTTTGGAAAGCTCTGCGCTGAGGGAAAGTTGATGCATACATATATATACAGGATATCCCAAAATTATGGTACTTCCAGGAAATAAGGGGTTGCTGGAATCATTTCAAGTAACTTTTTCCTTAGCGCAAATGCAATCCGCCCTTTTGTTTACGAGTTATTAACGAAAAGCAGTGACCAATGAGAAGCAAGATCAGATGACGCGTGGCGGTCGGGCCAATGAGCGGAACCCAGCTTCGTGCGCTCGTTGACCCGGCCGCCTCGCGCCAGCTAATCTCGCCTCTCATTAGTCAGTGTTTTTCGTTAATAACTCGTGAACGAAGCCGCGAATTGCATTTGCGCCAAGGAAAAAGTTACTTCAAATAAGCTCAGGAACCCCTCATTTCTCGGGAGTATCATAATTTTGGGATATGCTGTATAGGTTTTTACTTGAATGTTGGGGATTTAGGAAATCATAAGGGTTAGTATGGTAAAGTCGGAGTTTTATAGATGACGTGTGGCGAAGCAAAGGTTCAAGTATGATGTGGCAAGGACAGAGGTCGAGGATGTGGCAGAGTTGAGGATGTGACAAGGGTAAAATCATGGCTTACAGAAGATTTCGGGATGTTCGATAAGAAGATAATGGAATGACATTGGTATACGATATAACGTTAACAATAATAAATGATGTAAAAACGATAGTAGTGACAATAATAACAATAATAACAATAATAACAGTAATAATAATTATAAGAAGAAATGTAATTAGAATTAAAGTGGAGGAATAGGACGTAGCACAGAGAAACATTTTCAACAGAATCAAACATGCTATTGGAAATGTGAACACAGACAAAATCCATACCATTTTCTATGCACCGAATGAAGAATTTGGATTGTGCTTCGTT